CCGGTCCGCGGACCGGGGGTTGGGGACCACTGCTTTGGAGAATAGCTTGACTCCCTCTTCTTTGTGGCAGCCCCTGAGATATTTGAAGACTGCTATCATGTCTCCCCTAGTCCTTCTTTTCATTAAACTAGACATACCCAGTTCTTGCAACGGTTCTTCACATGTTTTAGCCTCCAGTCCCCTCATCATCTTTGTTGCTCTTCTCTGCACTCTTTCTAGAGTCTCCACATCTTTTCTACATCATGGCCACCAAAACTGCATGCAGTATTCCAAATGTGGTCTTACCAAGGCAAAAGTGTGTGTGCAAACAGGTAGCAGACTTCAGAGCATTTCAGCCCTGGACTAAGGATCGTCTCTGCAAGGGGGAGAGGAGGGGATTTTCTGTCTATGGGATCCAAAGCAGCTGCCCCGCTCCCCCACCTGGGCTCTCCAAACTTGGCAACTTTCAGACAGGTGGAGTTCAACTTCCTAGCTGGCTGGGGAAATTCAGGGAGGTGAAGTTCACAAGTTTTAAAGTTTGGAGAGCCCTGAATTTGGATTTGGATTTGGATTTATTACATTTATATGCCGCCCTTTTCCCCAAAGGGGACTCAGGGCGGCTCACAATTTAAACCACTGGGGACAGGGCTGCATGCTCAGGATAATCCCCCCCCTCTCGCCCCCAATGTCATTAATCTGCACTATGGGTAGTCCTTGACTTACAACAGTTCATTCAGTGACTGTTCCAAGTTACAACGGCACTGAAAAAAGTAAGTTATGACCCTTGTTCACTCTTTTGATCATTGTGGCCTCCCTGAGATCACGTGATCATAATTCAAACATTTGGCAGCTGACTCACACTTACAATGGTCGCAGTATCCTGGGGTCACGTGATCCCATTTTGTGACCTTCTGTGAAGCTAAGTCAATGGGAAAGCCAGATTCACTGAACAACAGTCCTACTAACTTAACAACTGTGGTGATTCACTTAACAACCGTGGCAAGAAAAGTTGTAAAATGAGGCAGAGCTTACTTAACGTTTCATTTAGCCAGGGACACTTTTGGCTCAGTTGTGGTCATAAGTCATAACATTTTTTGAGGGCAGGAAAGAGGACACTTTTTCTGTTTTTGGAAGAGCCAAGAGTTAACTGGGAAAGGAAAATGGGATATAATGTAGGTCACACGCATCCTTCATTATCCCCGAGGCCAAATTTTGGGGAAATGTTATTTTTTTAAAAACAAACAAGCGTACAGCTGTTTCTTCAGAGAAAAGGTATTTTTTCTTTGCAAACTTCCAAAGGCCCAGCAGCCTTACAATACCCAGAACTGAGCTCCATGCATGATGCCTCATGATTGTGGCAGAATAGTTGAACAGGAGGGGGGGGGGGCATGTGCAGTAAACTCTGAAGAGGCACAGTTTTATGCAGTGGTTGCGAGTTGTGGCAAAGCACTGATTTATGGTTAAAAGAATTGTGCCAGAAAATAACAGTCACTTCCTTTACACCAGGGATGGGCAAACTTGTGGTTCTTTTTAATTTCAACCACGATTACAGCAACAGAAAGGAATAACTGAAGCTTCAGTCCAGGCCAGGGGTCTCCAACCTTGGCAACTTTAAGACGTGTGGACTTCAACTCTCAAAGCAAAGCTGGCTGAGGAACTTTGGGAGTTGAAGTCTTAAAGTTTCCATGGTTGGAGACCCCTGGTCCAGACCCCTATAAGCTGAACAAGGACCATGAAAAGCAAGACCAATTGGGCTGCAACTCCAGATCCAGAGATTCCCTTCCTCAGAGTCCTTTCGGGGGAGCTAAAACCACGGGCTTAATAAGGACCAAGGACGCTGCTGTATCAGGGAGCTGCATCTCTCGGGTTTAGGCTCCTCTGAGCTTTTCTTTTAAACATAGCAATCATTTATTAGGAAGTTTTCATTCTGTTGCTTGGGGGGGGGGGGGGGGGGGGGAAAGGAGGCAGAAGGCTTATTGTTTTAATAACTGTCAGCCAAGGTTCCTTTGTCAAAAGAAAAATGAAATTCCCACAATGCAAAGAGCTTTCTACTTTGGTAGCTAATAGGAAAAAAATGTATAGACTTGTTCCACATTATGTATTCTGGGAAACTCTGCCCTCCTGACCCCCCAAATACCTACTGGCTCCTCCTCTTCCTCATGGAGAGAGAATGTTGAGCGCAGGGACATGTTGGACTCCGAATGCAGCGACCGAACAGAGATGGCAGAGTCAGACCGACGGGTGATTGGTGGCTGGAGAGCGAGAGAGAGACAGACAGACAGACAGACAGACAGATATGAGAGTCGGTCACATATTTAAGATAAAATAGCACAGCAGCCACAACCAACAACTTGAAACATGTGTGTTCAGAACAAGCATTAGGAGGCTTTCCCTAATGGCAGCCTTTCCTAACAAAATTCAACTTCTGCCATCTTCTGTCCTAAGTGGCTGTTTGACCTCTGACGGGCAAGGGTCAACCAGCACACAAAAGGGCAGTGTGATCACCAAATTCCTTCTGCAAACCTCTCTGCATTTTTCCAAAAAAAGAAATAAACCACAGGTTAAACGGAGGGAGGCCTCAGTGGCAGACAAAACACATTTACTTGCCCTGCAAAGAAGTTACTTTTGCATTTCACAGAGGTCTGCAAACTTTAGCCCTCGGAAATCCTTTCACTTAGCCCTCGGAAATCCTTTCACTTCTTGGGCAATGCTAGCACTTCACTTAACCGTCAAATCATCAGTAAAAGCTTGACAAATCTCAGGCAGGTGATTGCAAGGGCTCCCCAGACCAATTTTTGCCTCTGAGGCAGATCCGTAAAAAGCTCACCTTCCCAACATGGAACTTCCCGATGCTCAACCAGGCTTCTGACCAGAAATGCTGGTTCTCGGCTAGGATCCTTCACCAAAAACCTACCACGCTTTGCTCTCATGGCCTCTGCTGTTCCTAAGAGCACTTGTGGTTAGGCTGCTTCTGCTGCTGCCTCTCTCTCTCTCTCTCTCTCTCTCTCTCTCACACACACACACACACACACACATACACACACACACACACACAGACACAGTGCCAATTTGCTTTGCGTAGATGGCTGGAGACTTCCTCCTATTCAATTCAGTCGGGGTTCTGCTCTGTGGCTTCCTGTTTGGGGGGGGTGGAAGAGCCAGCTGGGCACCATGCCCGCCAATCACCCAGCTTGTCCTGGCTGCAGGCTCTCTGGGACTGGCTCCGCAAGGGAGCTGCTAGCAGAATGGCTACTGCTCAGGTTCTCACCCAGGGACGGAAGGCCAATGGGGACCCACAGCATCTGCACGAGGCATGACTGACCAGGGATAAGAAGAGCAGCGATAAAAGTCGGGGCGCATAGGAGCCACAAAAAGCCCAGTTTAAAAAGGGGGATCTGGCAGCTATAACCTTTAAGCAGAAGAGAACATGAGTTGTCCATGTCCCGGCCTCTTCGTGGCTCCCATGATGTCGCATCCCAAAGGAAGAGAGGGAAAGGGAAGGTCAGAACATGCTGGCTCTTTGCTGAGGGTGAGAAAGGGGCCTCTCAGCAAACAGCTGATAGCAGGGAACGCAAGAGAGGCTCTCCTGGGTCTCACCTGGGTGACATTCCAGGCCAAAGGGGAACAGGTGCCGGGCATTCCCCTGCTTTTGAATACATGCTTCATTTCATTGTTTAAGGAGCTGTGCTGGATTTGCTGCTCTTGCAGTAATTAAATCAGGCAGGATAGGACAAGCCTGACAGTTAAGGAATGCTTCCTCGTAGAGGAGATCTATTGACATCCCATGCAGTGCAAAAGGCAGTTCCAGGAAATCGACTCAGAAGTCTCGTCTTGACTGGAGGGACGGGTCATTATAGGTCACTCTCAGAGAGTCACCGAAGCCATCAGGAAGGCCTAGCCAAAGTCATCTGGAGGGTACCGATTCCGGCAAGCCATAAAAAACCTAAAAGTTACAACTTAAAAAGTTTCAAAGGCTTGCAGAAATTGTGAATTTGAGCCAAGGCATGGTGCAGTTTCTCGACTTATGGACCACACCTGAGCCCAAAATTTCTGTTCCTAAAGCGAGACATTTCTTAAGTGAATTTGCCTCCTTTTTACAACCTTTTTTGCCGGATTTGTTGTGCGAATTGCGGCAGTTGTTCAGTTAGTAAACCAGTTGTTCAGTGAATCCCCGTTGATTTTGCTTTGTCCGAAAGCCGAAAAACAAGATCACGTGACACACAGACCCCAGGACACTGCAACCGTCATAAATACGAGCCAGTTGCCCAGCTTCCAAATTTGGATCACATGGCCATGGGGCTGCTGCAATGGCCATAAGCGTGAAAAATGGTCATAAGTGACTTTTTTTTCAATGCCATTGTAATTTCAAACAGTCACGGAATGAACGGTTGTAAGTTGAGGACTGCCTGTACTGAGGCTGCTTTCATTATCTTGACGGATGCCTGGAAACCCTTTGGGATTTTCAAGGCAGGCGGAGGCAATCAAAACCACAGTTCTGCGATGCTTCCGGCCTTTTCTATTTGCCTGTGCCCAGAAGGTGGTATTGGGAAACTGTAATTGGCTGTGAACTAGCGCAAGAGGCGGGGATCCCCAGATTCCTGTGCTGAAGATCTGCAGGGTGTCACCTTTGAAATGGATTGAGCCCGCCGCAGCCATCTTCCGTTTCCCAGTTGTACGCAATCTCGGGACGGGGGAGAGAAATGGAATGGAACGTGGACTAGTCAAAACAACTTACTATCTCGTGGAAAACAAGGCCATCCCAACAGGTGGTGGCCCGAGGCTGGAACTGGTTGCCAAGGAGACTCCAGAGCACCTAATTGGAGAATGCGACCTGGGATACACTGGAGGAAGGGGGATATCCAAGATGGAACTATTCTGAAAACGTGGAAAATAAGAGCTGGTTTTAAGTTCATTTGTGCCAAAATGGTGGTACTCAAAGTAGTTCTTTGAGGAAGCTGAAAGTCTCAGAGTGTTGAATTGGTTGGGTTCATTAGTCCAGGGGTCTTGAACCTTGGCAACTTTAAGACTTGTGGACTTATCAACTCCCAGCGTTCCTCAGCCAGCTTAAAGCCTTAAAGTTGCCAAGGTTCAATACCCCTGCATTAGTCCGAACCTTGACACAGGGATTGCCAGTGGCTCAGATGTCATAATTGAAGGTGCTGATATTGGCCTCCAGGAACCACCTGGTGTATTAAATATCTATCGTGATGATCTACAAATCTCCAGGCAGATTCTCCCAGGGATTTATAGCTCAGACACCGGCTGAGAAGGTCTTTTGATACACGCTTTGAGCCCCACATTCTCGCATTTAGAACATTTGTAAAGATGCATCTCTTTAATCCAGCCTATTATTATTAAGATCCATGGTGGGGCAGTCGTTAGGCCAACTGCCAGCAATTTGATTTTGAACAGTTCAAGGTTGACTCAGCCTTTCTTTCAAGGTCAGTAAAATGAGGACCCAGATTGTTGGGGGCAATGTGCTGACTCTGTAAATCGCTTAGAGGGGGCTGTAAAGCACTGTGAAGTGGTATATAACTAAGTGTATTACTATTGTTGATCAATTTTAGCGTTAACTTTGATACACACGCTAGCTTTTCAATTTTAAGAGAAAACATTAGTTTACTTGAACATCATTTGAGTTTGAGAGGTGGCATATAAATTAAAAAAATATTTTTACTCATTTATCAAGTTTTTATAACTGCCCATCTACCATATGATGTGCAGATACACATCAAAATGAAAATGAATACATGAAACAGTAACTTATCTAAAATGTTAAGCCTTTACTTGGCCCTGGGGTCTCCTTGAAGGGAGCTGGGCTGCAACCAAGAAGGTCCTCCCCTTAGAAGCACTACTCTGGCTTTCCAGCCAGTTGGCAGAGAATCAAAAGCAGGAATCCGAAACCAGGATCAGCCTCATAGCCCTGGTAGCTTTGATTTCTGGCTTTCTTTCTGCTTGTCTGTCTGGTTTGGCACAGCAACCAAACATGACAGGTAGAGATTTCAACGGACAGTTAGGACTGCAGGAAAAACAATCACAACCAGCCTGCCTTCCATTGGGGATCTATATACTGCATGGGTCGAAGACCCCTCACATCCTGGATACAAATTGTTTCTCCCATCAAGACATCACTATAGGGCATTGCATGCCAAAACAATTAGACACAAAGACAATTTATTCCGTGAGATCACTCTGCTGAACACTTAAATACCATAGTACTGTCTTATGTCTAAGAGTATTTATCCATGTAATAGGGCTGTATTAGTATTATCCTTCTCATCTTTCCTATTTCTTTCACCTATTGATGCCTTCTAATTATATCACTTGGTTGTCTTGCATGTATACTGACAGCTTCTGCAATGGAGACAAATTCCTTGTACGTCTAATGACACTTGGCCAATAAAGAATATCCTATCCTATCCAATCCAACCCCTACCCTACAAAGGCAAATAGAAGCACTAAATAAAAAGAGGACAGATGAAAGGCACTGTGGAGCTTTCTTTCTTTATTCATAGATTCATTTTCATTTTGAACAATTTATCCTTCAACAACATCTCCAAGGATAGTAGAATGGCATATGTTTAGGTCCCAAATAAGCTTTATGGGGTGGTGCCATATTAAATAAGCCATTGTTTTTTCAATTAGCTCAAACTCAACGTGTACTATAACCATCATTAACTCAGAGTGATTGCTATTATTGAGCTTCCAAAAAGCAGCAACCGCACAAACATTTTATAATTTTATAATTTTCACCAATATTATATTGTGCTTTTCAATGTGAAATTTCTGAAAACAACTAGTTGAACTGGTGAAAAAGCTCAAAATACAACAGTGCAGGTAGTCCCCGACTTACAATTCATTTAGTGACCTTTCAAAGTTACAACAGCATTGAAAAAAGCAACTTTTTCAATGTAAGTTTTCACACATACAACCATTGCAGCATCCCCATGATCATGTGATCAAAATTCAGATGCTTGGCATATGACTCACATTTATGACCGTTGCTGTGTTCCAGGATCATGTGATCCCCTTTTACGACCTTCTGACAAGTAAGCTCAATGAGCAGATTTGCTTAACAGCCGTGTTACTGATTTACCAATTGCAGTGATTCACTTAAACAACTGTGGCAAGAAAGATCATAAAACTCACTTAACAAATGTCTCGCTTAGCAACAGAAATTCTGGGGTCAATTGTGGTCATAAGTCAAGGATTAGCAGTATCTGTATTCAAATAGTTTCATTTCAGCTTCTATAAGGGAAGAAGAAACTGTCATTTTGGCTAGGATTAAAACCTTAAGGCTAATGGAGGATTGGGAAATAACAAGCTGGATGTAGAGACCAGAAAACAAATTTGCATTTTGAGGCCTTGGCATGCAATCCACCATGAAACAATTTCAGTTAAAGCCAACAAGCAGCATTAATAATTGGGAGAATTGAGAACGTTTAACAGAACTTTCACATAGATTTATTCCTATACTAAGTGATAACCCGGAGTTGCCTGGGTATTTTATTTATAGGGCAAAAATGTCCGGACCAAATGTAATTTCTAATATTGGATTTTCCCCCTTACCAGAGGGAGCTCCCTTATGGAGTACTGTGAAGCCGTTACCCCATGGCAACTCCACTGCGCTGTACTGTAGAAGCCATTTTAAAGCAGTACAGTAGAAGTCATTTTAGGGCACAACAGGCTGTATTTTAACAGAACACACACCCTGAGGGGTTTTAGGGGTGTCTTACCCCCACAGTATTTGTTTCAGATAGTAAGTCATCGGTGTACCAAGTTTGGCTGAAATTACTTGAGGCGTTCCAGAGTTATCTCTCTCTCTCTCTCTCTCTCACACACACACACACACATGCTGGTCTTGGTGTATTCGGGTATTTACCCGGGTAAGATTGAGATTGTCTTGGCATGGCCGAAGCTGCCGTCTTTCCATAAATCTTGGTGGGGGTATGTGGAGTACTGGCTTTGTTTCAGTAAGTGGATTGATCGGTTGTGTGGTTGTATCATGATTGGTAGATTGGTGCTTACTGGTGCTGGCTGTGTGTCCGTTGTTGTTTCATGTTGTAACAGCCTGGGTGGTGGGTGGCGCTCGTTTGTTGACTATGAAGCCGAAAACACCAGCCTGAAGATGGCGAGTGAGACCTCTTTATATATATATATATATTGAACTGCACTTTCTATGAAGGGGAAAATTTCAACAGATTGCAAGTGGGGGGGGGAAGCAGACTGGAATTTGTGACCTGCAACTGAGTCAAAGAAAGTGCCGAGGGCTCCGTTCCCAACCTTGCCATCTCTCTTCTCTCAAAGCACTTACCATGCTGTCGTCCTCATCTCGGGAGGCAAAGGGAAGTGTACTTGAGGAGGAGGGTGTCGGGCGATGTTGTTTGTATGAACTACTTCCATCTGCTAAAAGGACAATCGGGGGGAGAGAGGTGAAACATTCTGCAACATAACAACATTGCCTTGAAATCACTGAGTCCCTTTGAAAAACATGTCCAGGGAAAAGAAATTAATAAAACTCCACTTCTCCAAATTTGCTGAGGGTGGAACAAAACGATTTTTTAAAAAGAAAAAACAGCTTTAAAATGAAAAGATTTTTCCATCAATTCTATCCTCCATGTACTGATCTAGGCCTACATTCTAAATTTATCTCCTGAAAACCCATTTGTCAGGAGGCCTGGAAGCCATCTTGTGCATTGGGCCTTCCGGCCACATTCAATGCTGTGGGAAAATGGGAAAAGGGATTATATAGAGTATGGGAGATATATAGACAAAATAACATTCCTTTTTCAGAGAGTCAGGGACATCTTGCCCTGCACCTGGAGTGGTGTGACTGGCTGGCCTCTCCAGTTGGGATGGTGCCTGATTGGGATGGACATGTGTGTGTGGGCAGGGACTTGGACCTTCGTTTGGGAGGGGAAAACCTGGAAGCTTTCAGATTCAGGTTTCCCCAGATGCGCCAATATGACATCTCTAATAAAATGGAACTTTGAGGAACTTAAAGCCTTAGTCTTCTTTTGTTGGGTGGGGGGGTCTTACTTTGAACCTTGACATCTGCGCATTGTGTTGGTGACAAGTACGTGCTTCTGTGGCAGTCAAGGCAGCCAGGAACATTCACTAAAAGGACCAGGAGTCTTTTTTTGTCAGGGGTGTTACTTGGAACCCTGACACAATTCTTATGCCAACAAAAAGCAATGTCTGTGCATAACTGTAAAAATCACTGCATAAGATTTAGCAAAAACAAAAGTTAATTTCTCCAGAAAAAACTGATCATTAAAAAACAAGGGTAGGAAGGAATTAAAATGAATGTTGTAAGAGAGAATAGCTAATTGAATCTCTGCTCCCTACAGCAATATATTATTTATGTATTTTATTTACTTGATTTACATCTGTTATAAACTTCACGTTAGCTTGTTTTCATAAACTGAGCCATCACTTAAAATGTAACAGAATTGAATATTTGTAGCTTGGGGTTGAACTGTGGGGTTCTTTGTGTTCCCTGAGTGTGACTGTTTTCTTGCAGACATTTCATTACCAAACGAGGTAACCACATCAGTGCATGGGAGCAAGCAACGTCTGCAAACCCCCAAGCTCAGAGAGCACCAAGAACCCCATATCTCAGAATTATAAAGCATCTCTAGAAATCATCAAATTTAACCCTTCTCCATGCAATGGGAAAGTATCAGCTGATCACCTTCTGCCTAATACTAAGATTGTGGATTTCCAGATGGAGAAAATGGACAACTAACACATTTCCAAACGGTGGAGATGCCATCAAGTTAGAAACTGGTGGCAGGACAGTGACCCCAAGCCAGTGGAGCTGTTCTGGACAAGGAGAAGCCAGGAACTGGCCCACTTGTACTTTGGAAGGCAGATTCTCGCCAGAAAGGAACCTGCAGGCGATTTGTGGATAGAGGCCCAAGAGCTGAAGAAGGAATATCAAGCTCACAGCCTCATTTAAGGAGGAGAGGATCGTCAACAGAACAAACAGCAGAAAAGCCAGATATTTTACAAAAGATGTCGTGCATAAATGCAGCAGCATACCAACCGTCCCTGTCTTACTGTCCCCATTTATCTACTTCCTTTAGAATAGAATAGAGTAAGAGAGTTGGAAGGGACCTTGGAGATCTTCTAGTCCAACCCCCTGCCTAGATAGGAAACCCTATAGCATTTCAGACAAATGGTTATCCAACATCTTCTTGAAAACTTCCAGTGTTGGAGCACTCACAACTTCTGGAGGCAAGCTGTCAGGAAATTCTAAGTTGCTTCTCTCCTTGATTAGTTTCCACCCATTGCTTCTTATTCTACCCTCAGATGTTTTGGAGAATAGTTTGACTCCCTCTTCTTTGTGGCAACCCCTGAAATATTGGAACACTGCTATCATGTCTCCCCTAGTCCTTCTTTCTATTAAACTAGACATACCCAGTTCCTGCAACCCTTCATAGTATGTTTAGCCTCCAGGCCCCTAATCCTCTTTGTTGCTCTTCTCTGCACTCTTTCTAGAGTCTCCACATCTTTTCTACATCGTGGCAACCAAAACTAAATGCAGGATTCCAAGTGTGACCTCACCAAGGCCTTATAAAGTGGTATTAACACTTCACGTGACCTTTGTTCATGTTTATGTTCGTACTTATACCTGTTACCTGTACATGTTTGACAGACAAACAAAGAAACAAATAAACAAAAACGTCCAATGAACTGGGGAAGAATTTTATAACGTCAGTGACTGAATCTGTTAAGAGACCTGGCTACACTTGAGTGGAGAATGGAAGATGACTCAATAGAATTTTAAAGATTGATAATTTTGGATGAACCCAGAACTTTTTTTTTTATTATTGAGACTTACAGATGGACAATTATGCAAGGATTATGAAAGACTGATTTTATATACGGTAACCTCAGTACTACAGGTATATGCCTAAGGATGGGGAAACATTGAAACGTTCACAAGAGGAGTGGATTGTGAAGATAGCAGAACTTGTAGAAATGGCAGAATGAATTTGTTCAGTCATGAATAATAGAATATGTACTTTTATTAAAGACCGAAAATCTCTTGTAGACTCTTTACTTAACATGGGAAAAAAGTAACCACATAATATGATCTGAAAGAGGCAGGTGGGATAATAAATTCATTTGTAACTACTGTAAAGAAGATTGGAGGTAATTTCGTCATATAGCTTTCTTTTTTATTTTTACTGTTCGTATTATTTATAGCATGAATCGGCTAAGGGCTAAAGATAAAAATCATGCAGATTATATTAAAAAGAAACACAACTAGATGTAGAAAATTATCAACCCCTTTGTGACAACTCCACAAATACTGGACAACGCTAATAACATAACTGTAACTTTGGAATATAAATCTGACACCAGATTTATATTAATTTTTATTATGATGGTTTGAATATAACTCTCCCAGTGCAATTGAAACAAGAGCGCCAAGCAAATTCATTATTTTTAAGAGGTCATTATTTTTAAGAGGTCATTTTTAAGAGGATTGTTTCTTCATGGTTGAGAATTTTTGGAGAAAAAAAAGATAGACATTTCAGAGAAGACAACTTTATTCTATGACGAAGTATTCTAATCTAAACTTTTAACAGAACAACTTTGGGAATCTTTTTTTTTCATGGATATTAAGAAGGCTAAGACGTTCTTGAAGAAAAGAGATTCCATAGACACTCCTGAAAAGAAAAAGACTTTTATTTTATGAAGATAAGCTGGAGGGAGTGATTTAAATTTAATGACTTAATTAGTTAGGGTAAATTTTTATAAGTTAGATATACGTATTAAAAGAAAACTCTAAAGTAATATTGTATTTATGAGTTTGTAAATGCATGTTTTCTGTCCTATGTAAAACTGAATAATTCTCAAAGTTTGTACATTATTATTGATCAAATTTGAAAATAAGATAAGAAAAAGATTTTACTCCTTGAGGATAAACTTGAGGAAGATATTTAAATCCAATGAACTAACTGGAATTAATTGAATTTTTATTGGTGTAATATATATAATTGAATGAAAGCTTTAATGTAGTTTTAAAATGAAGGAGTTTGTTTCCCTTTTACATATAATATTTGAGCAATTTTAAAATTTAAAATATCAAAATAGAAAAAGTGTTTTCTCCCATTAAGGATAAAAAAATTAAAATAAAATAAAGTTGAGGTTGTATTGTTATTAGCTTCTACTATGACTTCCAAGAGTTTCAAAGTCAGTGCCTTTTTCTTTCCTTTTCACTCTTTACACCATATTTTCTCTTTTTTTCTTCTAGTTTTCTATTACTTTAAAAAAATCTTTGTATTTTATATTTTGATAAACTAATAAAAATGTATTATATGGAATAAATAAGTTTCTTCTGATGCTTACCCCAAATTTGTGTCTTGTACAATTCCACCTATTGTTTCTAGTTCTGTCACCTGGAGCATCAGAAAGCAATCTGGCAACATCTTTTGACTGCCATGCTTTTAGGTATGGTACTTGTGAATCAAAATCCTACTTTCCCTTAATCCTATTACCAGAAATCAACTACAGTTTTTAACTATTATGTTCGTTATTCTATGGACCTACTAGTAATTATTGATGTACTTAAATATGATCCGAACTATTCAGTACTCTACATGTAGGCTGATTAGAGGGGAATTCTTACTTGCCATAGTAACGGGCAATCTATTTTTGGTTCCTGCATATGTTGAGCGATTACAAAGTCGGAATCTAGCTTTTATGAAATTCAACTCTGAATTTTATGAAACTCAGGCTGGAGCTTTCATCTGACAAATCAATTATTGGATTTTCAGAGGAGGCCAATAAACCACAGTTTATTTATTCTGTAAACTGCCCTATAATTTTACAACAGATTAGGCAGAGCAAGAATGATTCATTCCCAACCTTTGGTGATGGTGGTCACAGCAGAGTATGTGGGTCCAAAAGTAGTTTCCATTCTTGTCTGCAACAGAGAGCGAACGTGTTACTTTCCATCCTACATGGGTTGAAACAAGAACGACAAGGAAGGAGAAAAACCCCAGGATGCCAGGGGTGATGGCGGTCAAACCGCACCCTCTTACCCCGTTTGTGTTTTCTGGGAGTGTTATTGTTGGAGTGTTACTGTTGGAGAAACGATTGTAGCGGGTATTCTTGTTGGCACTCATAATCTAGTCCTACAATGGAACATCATAAAAGCTGCTTCTGGTAACAACAAAAGAGAAGTTTCATTCATAAACACACAAAACAACGTGTGCAAATCCCCCCACCCCCAGTTCAATACCATTTTTACAATATCCCCAAGAGATGAAAGCAGTTTTTGAAGGAAAGAAAGGAAGCTTCTCAATTCCTGAAACGTATCTACAGCTAGGAACTAAACAATGGGAAACTGCAATAAAATTCCAGAAGGTCTGAAATTATGGCTTGTTCAAGAAAACATGATGTTAAAAATTTACTGGATCTCATTGTGTTGTTTGGGGTATCATGAGAAGAAAATAATGCTTCATAAAATATTTTGTGCAACGGCCAGAAATCATTACGTCATAGAAAGAAATAATCCCATGCATTTGTTTAAGAAACAAGAACAAGGAGTAATATTTTAGATGTCTGGATTCTTTTGAGATACAGGTAGTCCTCGAATTACAACCATTCATTTAGTGACTGTTTGCATTTGCAATGGCACTGAAAAAAGTGACTTACATTTTTCACACTTACGAGCATTGTAGCTTCCCCAATGATCACATCATCAAAATTCATCATCAAATATCCTTGGAAATTGACTCATATTTACGACAGTTGCAGTGTCCTGGGGTCATGTGATCCCTTTTGCAACCTTCTGACAAGCAAAATCAAAAGGGGAAGCCAGATTCACTTAATTAACTTAAGAACTACAGTGATTCCCTTAACAATAATGGCAAGAAAAGTCATAAAGATGAGACAAAACTGACTTAACAAATGTCTCCCTTTGCCACCAAAATTTTGGGCTCATAATTTGAGGGCTTCCTGTATATCCTTATAACATGGAAATGGATGGTTGTGTTAACAGAAATGGATTTCTTACATCCTTCAACAACGGAAGTATAGATTTATGGTTCTTGTTCTTCACTGAAGATCTGATGTTGAGAATTAGTTGCTTACAAGCATGTATCATGCAACGATTATAATGAAAATGGTCATATTTTACTGAAAGTCTTATATGCAATATACAAAGAGTTCTTATATTTCTTCCCCTATTTTTTCCCTTTATTAAGGGCTGAAACCAAAACCAACAATGAAAGAGAGGGAAGAGGGTATCAAGCAGCTTTTGAAGTGAACTAGAAAACAGCTACATCTCCTGGCATATATCTTAACAGCATGTTAAATACAGAATGTTATCAATATTTGATATCCCAACTATATTACAGTTTAATATTGCACTTCCAGTGACAAATTCCACAGCAGTGGCACCATGATTGAGAAAGCCCAGCCGTGAAGACCAAATTGGTCTTTTCTTTTCCCTTTTTCACCATTTGTTTAATCCTCAACATCTCAGTCTTTGGAAGTCTTTTCTCTCCAACACAACTGCTGCAGTTATCAAAGCCAAGATAGGGGATTAAAAGTATTTTGAGGAAAGGAGTGGGACAAGATAGGGTAATGCTGAGGCTTCCATTCCTTGGGAAAAATAAGGACAATTTCCATCTATTGTATGAACAAAGTAGAACGGAAGGCAGAAATCTGGCTGTCTTGCACACAGGTGAATACACAACCCAATGACAAAAATATACTTTCCATATCCAAATGCATTTTTGGTCTGTAGATTTCATGGTGTTATCAGCCCTGTCTGAGGGCTATAAAAGAGGATAGCCATCCTCTGGAAGAGGTAGAGCGATTTTTAAATATATATATTTTAGTGGGTTTAAAGGGGTTATTTTGTCTTCAGTATTTTTATTTTTCATTTTCATACACTCACATGTATACACCATACAATGTTAAACAATAATTGCATCAAGTCCGCTTGTCAACAAGGCCCCAGAAAATGAAAGCCCAATATA